AAAAAAAAAAAAAAAAAAAGCAAGCTTCAAGTAAATACAAGATTTGGTTTGAATTGAACAAGAGAGTATCTGTGTGTGGGTTCAGCACGTGGTCCCCGCTGCCTGAGGCGAGCTTCCTGGGGTGCAGGGCCTGGGGTCCAGCCCCAGATCCACCTCCCCAGCCACAGGGGCTGCTTCTCGGGCCACAGGCAGGAGCACACGGACCTCAGCTCAGAAGTGGCCAAGATGCCTCCAATTCCCTTCTTTCTGTACTTGGGTTCTTTTAGAACACAGCAGTCACCTTCTCCCTGGGCAGACGTGCAGGAGAAAGGGCCAGAGAGAGGCTCCGCAGAACAGCATGAGCGGCACCCAGGCCGCAGGGGTCTGGGAGAGGGCCTTGCACACGCAGTGAACACGCAACCACGTTCGCAGGACGGGCCTGGCCCGGGGTGCACTGCGTGTAGAGCGGTGTGAGTACAAACAGGGAACTTGTCTCCCACACGACACAGAGGAACGATGCTGGGAAGAGTCCAGAGGGCCCCAGGGCTTCAGTAAATGTAATGTGTAAGGAAGTTATATCACAGAGATAAAAGGAAAAGAGCATTTTATTTTTGGCCACACAGGTGAGTCCAACTGCATTGTTCTTTAAATACATCTTGTTGTAATCACCAAGGAGAGACAAGACACCTGTCTACCCAAGTGCAGCTTCAAGAGCTCCACAAAAATGATTCCTGACAGCTACGGGACAGAAGTCCAGCCCCAGAAAAGAGCGGCGTGGCCAGGGCATGTCCTGTCCAAGATGAAATCGACGAATGCACAGTGCTCGACATAATGCTTGAAAACAGGGAATAAACAGAACAAAAATATTAAAATGATGCACTGTTTCAGTATTAAGATTGAACAATCTGGTACTGAACATGCGGGGTATAAATAGTGCTTGGACTCCAAGCCAGCGAAGGAGCACAGCTCTCACTCACGTGCCGTCTGTCTGCAGAGCTGGCTCTGAGTCGCCTGCCAGCAAGGCTGCGCTCCGGTGGGGACGTCTCCTCAACCAGCCGCACAGCCCGCCCACACAGGGTCATCCGCCCTGGGCTCCTCGCGCTCCGGCACTGGCACTACCAAAGAGGTGCGGAGAAAGCATGAGCCACGCTCCCTTTCCAAAATGATCACTTGAAACTGTAACTTCCTTCCAAAACTCCGCGGTGCGCTCACCCACAAGTGGAGGCGGAGCCCACTGCATCCTGCTGGCGTGGAAGCGGGGCTGGCTGCCCTGCACCCCACAGGACAGCAGAGGCAGGCCTGCGTCACCCTGTCTACAAGGACGCCCACCCCCGCTGAAGGGCCACCATAGCGTGGCGGACACCACGAGGCACACGCTGCGGTCCAGTCCCATCATGCCAAGCTCGGGCAGGACTACCAGTGCACAGGCATCAGCGCGACAGGCCTGCGGGAGGGGCTGAGCCACAGAGGGACATGCGGGGACTCGGGTGGCTACGCGGGCACAGACGCCATCAGGGCTCATCCGATCCGGCACTTGGTACACAAATGCTTCACTGTACGTGGATTGTGCGTGAATCACACCTTCATTGTTTCAAACATCAGAGGGGAAGCGTCTGTGCAGGAAACAGCAGACAACCTCTCCCCCTGCAGACAGGCATCGCCTCTCGGGGTTCTCCGCTCCCGGGGAGCCGGGAGGAGGTTGTCTGGGCTGGAATTAGACACACAGGTGTCTCCCGACACTCACACCTCCGCGCAGGGCAGCTGCTCTGTGTGGCTGCCGCATCTTGGAAGAGAGCCGCCGGTGCTATTTTCTCACCCAAAAGTCCTGATCTACACTCAGCCTCCAGAGATCTGTGCGTAGGGTGCCAGGGGCTGCGCCTCAGCCAGGCAAGGCAAGAGGGGCCTTCAACAGCATGCTGCCCCTCCAAGCAGGAACTCTTGTCTTGGACTAATCCACCTTGAAACACATCCTTTAGGACAGCCCTCCTTCCCAGGTAAAAAGGACAAAACTGTAACTCAGAGCAGGAGTCAAAGGTCAATCAAGGAACTCGAACCAGGATGCAGGGCCCCAGTGACGGAGCAGAAGCACAGGCGTCCAGGTCAAACTGCCTCCGATCACAGCCTGCTCGCTGACCTTCGGACTGTGTGACCTAGCTAGGCCCTGAACTTCGGCAGCCTTCAGTGCTGCCATCTGTGAAAGGGACAACGGAGCACCGATCTTTATAGGAGTGTGGCGCATGTGAACTGTCGAGCCAACAATTCCACAGTCATCACTTAGATCTGTTAAATTCTTAGAGAGAACACATCACTGATTTCTCTCAAAAAATACGAACGAGAGAATTCTCACGATGTCACTGTGCATTGCTCTTTAACTCACTCGCACGCCTGCAGGGCCCTCGTCTATTCAGAGTCACAAAGGGGGACTGCAGGTCATCCGTGCAGGCCGTCCCCCTCACACACTGTTCTTTTCTGCCTCTGCTGCCAGGCAGCTCCTTTCCCGCTGCACAGCTTCCGGTCTCCTCCTCGCCTCGCAGCACACAGTGTGGAGGACACCCTGCCCCTCAGCCTCTGCTGTCTGCTCGTCCGCGCCCGTCCTGCCTCCCTGCGTGTCTCTGGGCCTGCTCTGCCCACGAGGAAGCAGGTTCAGGGCCTGGACGCCAGCGGATGCAGGGGGTCGCCTGAGATGGTGGGCTCACGTCTGTCCTCGGGCTGCCCTCGTCTCATCGCCTCGTCCTCCTGCCGAGGGCTCGCTCAGGGCTCGCGGACCCTGGAAGGGAGAGCCTGAGCAGTGGCTGTGCGCTCTCACGGTAGGAGCCGTCACAGACGGCCTGTGTCCGCCCGCTTCTGCTCACCATGGTGGCCCTGGAGTCCTTCAGTGTCTGGCTGGGATCCAGGCCCGTGGAGAGGCGCCGAGCACGCACCCTTACTGACAGCACAGGCTCCTGAGTGACAGTAGGAGCTCAGCACAGACACTGCCGCAGTAAGTGCTCAGTGCAAGTCGGGAGGCGGTCTCTGCGTGCTTCTGAGGGAGCACAGACTGCACACTGTTGAGGTAGAGCTCTGTCAGCCAAACTGGGTGCGGCTGTGTGTGAACCGGGGCGGGCACTGGGCGGGGAAGACAGCTGGGGGTCTCCCAAATCACAGCTTCAGAAGCCTCTCACCGGCCCTTTAATGGGCTGCAGACCCCACCGCTGTGACAGGCAGGCCTTTCCACGTCACCCTCCATGAGCAAGTCCCGTGACCCCGATCTGGACAGCAGACAACTGATGCTGCCTACATTAGTTCAACACCCCAAGTCTCCCCTGCACCCACCCAGGTGATCCAGCAAGGCAATGCCCGTTCTCCCCTGACACCCGGCCATACACTCTCTGAAGTCAGCCCGCTGGGAGACTTCTGCCCCGACCACGTCAAGGGAACCAGTGCTTCCTCTCAGGCGGCCCAGGGCAGTTCTCACCAGGCCTATGACTCAGCAGCTCACCCAACTCAGCCTCCAGAAGGGCACTTCCGTCTGCACCGTACTTGCAAGAACTTCTAGGGCTCATCCTCGTGCAGCCCAGGGGCTTGGCAGCCACCCTGAAGTGAGCCAAGGACAGTGCTTTGTCACGAAGCCCAGTGGGAGACAGCCGCGACTGGGACGCAGTCCCTTCCCAGGTCCGCGGGCGGTGGGACTGAGCCGCTGCTCAGCACTCACCATTCACCATCTGCGCCAGACCACGCGGGGAGCAGGGGCGCCGCCCCGTCACCCATCTGGCCTGACCCCGAGTCGCAAGCTAAGGAACAAACAAGACCACGGAGCCAACGGGCCAGGAACCCAAGACAGAAGAGCCAACTGCACCTGGATGTCTCGGGAAACTGCTCTCCACTGAGCACCATTTCAGACAGAAGCACGGCTTCCCGGATCATCTTGACTGTTACCAAGGAATCTGTCATCTGCAAACAGTTAGAAAATGCCTGGTGTTGAAGACTATTATAGATGCAGTTTCAAGGTCTTTGAGTCACAAATTATGGGCCTTTATTTTGGAGTTGAAATTCATACAAATGTTAACATGATTGAATTGAGCACAATATAAATAAAACTGTTTATATCCAGACAAATCTGTTCGTTCTAAAATACAGAGTGCCAATCCACTCTCCGCGTAATGCATTCAGACCAAATAACAAAAATGCA